TGGTTGTTATTACGAATCAAAATTAGCAATACAGAGAGAAGAAGAATCTTAGACGAGCACAAGAGAATGACGTCCTCCCATTCCCTTGGGTCGCTGCTGGAACAGAAAGACTGGGCCAAGGGCAGTGGTGGGACTTCCAGTTGGCAGGCTCAGGGCACAGGAAGTGACTACGAGACCCTAATGCTGCCTTCTGGGAAGTAGGAGGAAGAGGACTGTAGGCTGAAGGGTGCCAGGAAGTATCAGGAAGACAGCATTTCGGTTCAGAAAGCATGCTCTCGATCCTCCCCAGAAGCCTGCCTCCCAGCTACAGCATAGACATGTATTTGATTCTGGGTCTCCATTTCCCCAATGGAGCTGGACAAAAAGCCAGGGAGATACCGGTCAGAAACAGCTTTGCTGCTTGACCCCCTAGGTTCCTGACACATTTACCCCAGTCACGTTCAATGCCCACTGAAACCGTGGCTGTGCTGCTGTGGAGTAAATTAGGGTTCATTGCTTCTCAACCTTTCGCCCAAGATCAAGTGTAGATTTGGGACTCAAATGACCAAGGCCATAGAAAAACATGAAAACCACTGAATCCAATCTTTCCCTCGGCATCTCCTAATCCTAACTCACGTTCTACTCTGTGGAAACAAGCAAACAAAGTCTTGTTCTGTCTTATCACATTAGGATCTTATGCATCCTTGGATGGACGTGCATAAGGTAAGGCTTCTGGCTTTACCTGTGTTCCAGATTCATTGCCATGGTGATGCTTCCCTCAGCTGAACAAAGAAATCAGTGGAGGTACGTGAGGGCAAGAAGGTTCAAAGGGTCTGTTGGCAGACTGTCCCCTGGGCCTTGTGTTAGTGGGAAAGACTGCGTCTCCAACACCAGCATCACCAGCACAGCGTGGGAGGGCTTCCTCAGCAATCATGTCATGCCAAGTGTTTCCACGGGGCTGTGGTTGATAGTCAGCCCCAGATGAACCATGTTTGTGGAAAAGTTGCGTCGCCCTGGCTCCAACCTCAAAACACAAGCCTCAAAATCGAATTTCATGAAGCTGAACCTCCTCAAATCCCTCCCCTTACTTCTTGGTCTTTATAAGGGATGGGCATCTGTTCCCAAGCATGATGGGGTAGGATCAGAGTTGTGTAACCCAAAGATAACCCTTAGTCCTCCCAGCTGCCAACTGCTCTGGGACTCAGGTAAGATGCTCTTCCCATCTCCGCCACTTTGGAGTTGTCCATCTGAGCAGAGGAAAGCAAAAGTATATAGAAGCAGGTGGGATTCCTGCTCCAACTCTGAAACATAACATAAAATGCCCCCTAAACAAAGAAACACCGATCTTCTAGGACAAAAGCAAGGCCAGGTCCGATGGGAGCTGAGTGCCACGTCCCAATGAACTCTTATCTTGAAGAGGATGTTGGATAAGCACCCAGGCTTGAGCAGTTCTAGATAGGACTGAAAGGATTGGTGTTTGCCTGCAGTCACGCATCTAGTTGTAAACATAGGTCTTTGATTTTCCTACCCAGTGCTCCCCCAACAAGAGTACACTTCCTGGAAGAGGTCAGTTAGAGAGTGTTTGTCCCTGAGGACCTGATGTCGGGTGTTTGAGTGGAGAGAAAGTGTTTTGAGAATGATGTACAAATGTGCTTTACACAATTGATGTGTGTATGGATTGCGATAACAGTTGTATGAGCCCTTCATAAAATGTTTTAAAAAAAAAAAGATGACCACCCACTCCTCCGAACCTCTGAAGGGCTGAGTAATTTACAATCTCTCGATACCACTTCATCTAACACATTTGGATGAGGTGTCTTCCCAAGATTTTCCTCCAGGGTGTTTGCTCTAAGAAAACATCCATTTGCTCCTTCATTTAAATGATTCCCTTTGGGTTGGGGCTTAAAGAATCAAATGTGTTTTCATTTTCTTGCTTTTGTTGTTTTTAAATTTTAGCTACCTAGAGATAGACTAATAGTTATACAGATAGGAATCCTCAGCTACTAACCAAAAGTTTTAAAGTTTGATGTTTTTTCCCCAGAGGTTCCAATAACCAGACACTGAAACCTCTATGGAGTTCAGTACTGCTTTAACACACATGGAACTGCCATAAGTTAAAACTGATTCCAAGGCAACGGGTAAATATTAAATAATACAAGAAGGGCTTCAAAAAACTTCATGGGGAATTTCATTATCTTTACATTCTACTTTTCCATGAACTTTTTAAAGTCCCCACATATATACAAGTGTCACTGGTATCCCTTCTCCACCTACCTGCTCTATAACAATGTTCGGTCTGCTCTACTGGCTCTAACTGTGTCTTGCCTTGGCCTAAAAAAGTGAAGCAGACAGGAGGCCCTCTCAGACCTGCTCCTCTTCTCTATGGATGGCTTGTATTGCACCTACGTTTGTCTTGTTAAAGACCCTAGCCCTTCAGAGCACCGCCTATCCTCAACTATTTTCTCGCTTGTGAGAGTCTGACTATCATTTATTATTAAATCACCCCATTTCCCAGCACAGCTCCTCCCAGTCTCAAATTCTGCCCTGTCTAGGCCTCAGTGTTCTAGAAGTTCCCTCATCTAAATGCTCTCTGGGCCTAAATACAAATATTCATGATGGAAAATCCTATTCCCTGCTTTCCGGTTAGTGTCTCCTTGTTAGCAAGAAGCTGTCTGGCCCACAGATAACAACTGGGATATGCCGTCATTAAGAGTATATTTTTAAATGACAAAAGGGCACGTTTTAAAGTAAAGTCCTCTTGAAAATCAGCTTCCTTCCAACCCAATTACATCTCAGCCTCCTGCTCAGAAGCTCTTTATACGACGTGATTCCAGCTCCCATTGGCCACCGGGTATTTAAGGAGTGTTTCCTTGGCAACAGGGAAAGCCCAGCCACCTGAGACAGGATGTGGAGGACAGGGTGCTTTATCTTATCTCAGGACCCTGAGCCAGTCACCACAGAGCCGGGTTAAGGGATCTTGTATCATCTAAGATGTGGCAGGCCCTGCCACCACCGTTGTCTCCACCTTACATACAACCCTGGTGTGACTATTCGAACTGAGCTAGGGAAGGGAGGAAGGAAAGAGTCCACGGGGGCCTGGTTGTCACTAAGCTCAACACAGCACTGTTGAAGAAGCAAGTACCAAGGCAGACAGAGTTGCCTCTGGAGCAAACTTCGAGAGCTCTGGGCCTTCACAGGAAACGATTCTGCAATCCCTTTCATATCAGAGTTAACAACAGGGTTTGGTTGTGTGTGTGTGTGTGTGTGTGTGTGTGTGCTGGTTTTCCTCTTGCAAGTTTGAGTCCCAACACAAGCCATGTTCAATTCCAACCAAAGCCTCACAGCTATGGCCACTTCTGATAGACATCACAGGTCATTCAACACCCTGGTATCACAGACCACACCTTGACACCCCACCACCACCAGAGGATCCCCTGATAGGCAATGAGCCAGTCCTCTATTATCCACAAGGAAATATCCAAACTCAAAAATGCATGATGTGTGTCTGCCCTCTGTTAAAACAGCTAGTCTTCAGCCATCCCAAGGCTCTCCCACTGTCATATGGTAGACTGAAATTCCCATGAGTTTTCCCATGTGTCCAAGACCACCTTCCACAGCCCTTCACATGTGGTAGAGCTGAGGAGCTCTGCCTCACTCATCTGCACAGATGGAAATTCCTACTCCACCTTCAAGGAGGAAAACCCCGGAACTCCCCCCAGCAGACTTTCCACATCCCAACATCACTTGGCTGTCTACACACTGCCAATGTTCAGCCCAGGCTTAAAGGACTCTCACCAAGGATTTACATCATCTCTAAGTGTAAGAATAAGAGCTCTCCTGATATGGTGGTTCCGAGTTGGGCTGCAATCCACAAAGTCCACAGTTCATAAGCAATAGGTGCCCCTCAAGAGAAACACTGGGCTTCCTACTCCCGTAAAGAGCTGCAGTCTCAGAAACTCACGGGGGCAGTTCTTCCCTGGCCTATAGGGTCAGTATGAACTGGCATCGACTCAATGGTAGTGAGTTTTGATTTAGAATGGCAAGAATGATCTCCCTTCTTCTTTGCGGTGGCTGTCATTAACAAAGTATAGAGATGGGTTTATGTGTTTTATGTATGTGTGTGCTTAATTCCTTAATCCCATCATGATAAGAATGTGCTTTGTGACCCCTTTAATCACTAGTGTTCCCACCCAAGCTGCTGACAGCATTTTGGCCTTCTGGGCAGCCACTATAGGTGTGTGTGCAGGTCCCTAAGCCAGCACTTCCTTACACACAACACCGGGACTCCCTCAGCCCACTGTTGGGGCTCCACACTGTGGTTTGCAGTGGACTGTAGGAAACTCCCCTTATGAAGTTCATTGCCCCATTCTCCTTCTTGCCTTATTCACCTGTTGGCCTTCCTTGAATTTGAGGTTTCTGATCTACCTAACCAATCGCCTCCCCCTAGATGCCAATCCAGAACAACTGACTTCCAGTCCCTGTAAGAGAAGATGCGGAGACGAAGAACTCTGGAGAAGATCCACTTGCATCAGCACTAGTCAGAACCAAACCTCATTCTCAGCTGATCAACTCACCTGTTCCTCTCTCTTCTCCCACTGTGCTGGGTACTCTGCACTCCTCACCCATCTCGAGACCTGTGTATGAACGTGTCCCACTCTGGAATCTGGAGGAATTCTTTGGCTTTGACCTCACACCCCTGCCTCAGCCACAATTCACCAACATTCTGAGTACGGTGTCCCTGTGAAAATACACACCCTTCCCAGCCTTGCCTCCAGGACACTGGAGCTGGACCTCTGGCCCAGGAAGCAGAACTTGTTGATAACCAGACTCTCTTCTATGCAAACAGTTTGCTTGTGGCACTTCCTGTTTGAAAACCCTCTGAGCCATGTACCGACACGACCACCCTACAGACGCACCGGTCTCAGCACCAGTTTCGGCAGAAGGAACCCTTATGGGGCTCCAGTGACTGTCACTGCCTTCAGTGGCATTGCAGAAGGAGAGCGTGAGGTCCGAAGACTTACCTTGCGCATGTCCTTGCCAAAGGTCTCACTATAGGTCGTGCCAAGGATTTCAAACTGCACATAGGGATTTGAGCTATCCTCTCGAAACTCCATCACGCCTGTGAGGCCAGTGATGTGGCCCTGCAAGAGAAGAGGGAGAGCCATTGAGGGGGTGGAAAGGCAAAGGGAGAAGAGGAGGGGATTGCAAGTGCTTGGGGGG